ATGACAGGATATAGGCAGCTATCAATGCATATCATTTGGGGACAATGTATATTGTAATTTGCAATTTGTTGAGGATTTACAAAAGTTCTGGTTCTGCATAATGCAATTCTTTGCAGAAAAACTGTTTTAGCATTGACTCTGCTATAATGACTTACAGTTTCTGTCTTTTTTTACTTCTTCCCAATGGAGTGAAATTGAGTCAAGATGCTACCTGGACCATTGCCCCTCTGTAGGACAGTCAAAGTCTAATGATTGGTTAATTCAAGGGTAATATAATTTACAGACAGCTAAGACTTTATAATCGAGCAAAGACTCAGACTTCAGCACTGCATCTAATGATGTTCCATCTAGATGCATGTCTCATTAAATGCCACTGTCTGCAGGTAAGAGAAACCTAATAGCTCTATCATGTGATTGCCACCAGAATGATATTCATTAGCCTGTGCTACACTACTCTCATTGCCACCATTGACTTTATGCCTCTTTCTGCTGAGTGGCCAATTCAACCTGCAAACATACACTCCTTGTTCTCTTTCATTTACACCAGTTATTGAGTCAGCACACACTAAACTGCCCACAGTTGCCCCTCAACTGCTCGCTGTTGTTTAAATAAAAGGCTGTGTTTTATCTTGGAAAGCTATTAGTTGATGAAATAAATACAAATATCCTCGCTACAAATGTATAACCTTGAGTGACAAAAAATGACTGAGTCGCTCAGCTGGTGTAAAATTTCTCATCCAAAGCGATGGAAGCCAAATTATATTAGTTGGCGCAGCATCATTAAACCAGTACAGCTGTCTTTGTAACAGACACAAAAGGAGAGAAGAGTTGCACTCCTAATTTTTTCACTAACATCTAAATATCCAGCTGAGAGACAGACAACACACAGTGGAGGTTGCAGCAGTGTTTTTTAACACATTTAAAAACCTAGGAAAAAGCACCCAAAATTACTATTTTGAAATAAGTAAAATTACAACAAATCATGTTTCCCCAAAACAAGCTTTAAACCAGAGACAACTAAATTCTAGTCAAGTTTTTATTAAAATCTTTTAGCATCTATCCAGTAGTCCGTCAATTCTATTGGCTCACACTAAAGCAACTTGCAGTAGGAAACAGATTTTGTCTGTAATGTTTTATTGTTGTTGTACTTGTTTGTTTTTTTAAGTGAAATGAGCTACTTTCATTAAAATGTATCTGCTCTGCAAAAAAACCAGTAACCCTCAAACTTTTAAATATATATTTTTTTTACATTCATGGGGAAAATATGTATACTTTCATTATGAGAAAATCACTACATGCAATATGTGCCCCCATTAAAGGTGTCTAAAGCTGATTTGAAAAGATCAAATAAGTGCATTTGTTCTTGAATTCCAAAAAAGTTAAAAACAATATTTTTTGGAATCACTATGACGGAGAATCTTTACCAGCCTTTGTTCTTACATCGACGAGGTAAGTGAGACAC